TGTATGCGCATTTATTTAAAACTATATGTTCATTCATTAACTGATTCTAAAAATTGGTCAACCAATAAATACTACTTAAGGACACATAAGTAATCAATTATAATAATTTTATATTTACAGTTTTATTAGTATCTGAATTAATGAGTAAGGCAATTCCTATCTATGAGAAATATAGTTCCTTGATATTTGAAAAAGATATATAAGAAGCACTAGATAAATATAATAAACACATATACAAGACAATAAAAAGAAATATTAGTCAAGGAAATATTATAAATTTTGATATTGTTAAAGATAGCTCTAGAGAGTACATATTTAATAATAGCAAAGCAAATTAAAATAACTACAAAAAGTAATAATTAGAGCGATTGCAAGAAATTCTAGAATTATTACTTTGTTATCTTAAATAGAAGAAGAACTTTAGTCTAGACAAATAGGGAATGCAGAATGCGTTAACAAAGTTAAAAGCAAAGTTTCCAAAATTACTGGATAATATTCATTTCATTACTGGTTTGTTTATAGATGGAGAACCTGGAAATTACTGGAAAGAATTTACTTAGGGTGTAATTAAATTTGAAAAGTAGTTTCGCTCATTTGAAGTTACTTATTTAGAAATTGAAGATTAGTCCAAATATTATGAGTTTAAGATTCGAGAGTTTTTGGACTAGGATGACTAAGCTCTGATTTTTTTACTAGCAATGATTGACTTGACTTAAAATGACAATATCACCTCTTTAAACTACTCTATTGAAAAAGCAAAGTACTTAATAATGAAAGTCTAGCCAAAAGAGATATCTGCAGTAGATGTATAATTTAAACAATTAGGATTGTTTAATGAAAAAGAAAAAGATAATTAAACTGAAGGTAAGGATGAAAAGAAGGAATGAAGAGAAAGTATTATAGAACAGAGAATGCAGCTATTATATTCTTAAAACAGTATAATTAATTAAGTAAATTATTTAACAATAAATATTTTCAAACTAAAAATCAAGCTCATTGTATTTAGTATTATTACTTATATGGGGTTTTGGGGTTTTGGGGTTTTGGGG